AATTAAGAGAAAAAAAGTTGAGAGCACTCAAACTTTCGAGTCATAATGATGCTTGCTAATTTTGTGGGTCTTGAGACCACTCAAATTTTCAATCATAATGATGATTATCTTGCTCGTCAATAAAGAGTAAACCAAGAGTGATTACAAGCCCAAGGATGAGGCATCCAAATTTAATCTTAATTTAAGAGAACTAGTGCTTAAGGAGAAGTTAGAGAGTATTAAACAAGAAGAGTCCGTGTTCATTGAAGATTTAACAAAACAACAAGAAGAGCCAAAAGGAGATGAGTTTGATGATCTTATGGTCGTACAAAAGGAGGAAGACAATGAGAAGATTATGTATGTTCAAGAAAATATACTATATATTGAATTTGTCATTCTAGAGGAGTCCAATGACAATAAAATCAAACTTGAATTTTTTTTGCTATTATTTATTCGTATTTTACAAGTTAGGTATGTGTATATGTTTTTGATACTTTGTTACTACAAGATTTGAGGATGAGTGTTCTCCAATGGAGAGAGTATGATGAGCATCAAGATGAAGATTAGAGGATGAATCTTTGTAAAGAGGGAGGGAATAATAGAAACCAAGGAGCCAAATGGGCCAGCAAGTGGCATCTCTAAGGGAGGTCCAAGATGACGAGTTTGCAAGTCTAAGATTTGATCCATTATATATTAAAAATGGTATAATGATGTGAGCTAAGGCTAAGAAGCTTAAAGAAGCTCTTCATGGGCTAATTCAAGAGTGTTGGGCGGAATGAACTTCCACGAGCCCAAGGGAGTAGTGTAGCGCCATCTTAAGAGAGAAGGGGATCCAAGTCCAAGATTGGGCTTCTTAAATCATATTGAGCCTATTTTATTATATCTAGCTTAATTATAATTAGAACTAATTAATTAAGTCGATTTGGGCTCAATGTTTTAAGCTCTATTATTTTCGTATTCTTTTAAGTTCATTAGGGTCCGTTTATTCTTTCCTTGGGTGGCAAGGACGTGTAGAGTCCTTTTAGGATTAGGAGTGGCGTGTTAGCCTATTTAAAGACTAGTTTAGTTCTATTTCGGACTTAGATAATAATTTTGAGAGTTAATAAATTTTAGAGGATTTTCTTTCTTTGTTCTTTTGAGAACTAAACCGACTTATCAAGGATTGTAACTTTTGTGGCATCTCTAAACTTATCATCCTCCATAGGGTATAACGTTATTCATTTCATTGCAACATAGCTTTGGTTCTTCCTTCTTTATAGGCAACGGGTCGGGTTCCGCTTACTATAACTCGATTTAGCGCATTCTTAGGTTGTCCGGTTATAAAGGTGTTTGGGTCTCTCGTCTTTATACTTGGGGTTCACATCAATTAATGATGGAAACCAAGGAGCCAAATGGGCCGACAAGTGGCATATCCAAGGGAGGTCTAAGATGTTGAGTTCACAAGTCCAAAATCCGATCCATTATACATTAAAGATGGTATAATGATGTAGGCTAGAGTTGAGAAGCTTAAAGAAGCTCTCCATTGGCCGATTCAAAGAGTTTTGGACAGAATACACTTCCAAGAGCCCGAGGGTGCAGTGTGGTGTCATCTTAAGAGAGGAGAGGGATCCAAGACTTGTCAATTTGATCCAAGTCTAAGATTGAGCTTCTTAAATCATATTAGGCATATTTTGTTATATCTAGCTTAATTATAATTAAGTTAGATTTGGGTTCAATGTTTTACGCCCAACTTAATCATAATTAGAGCTAATTAATTAAGTCAAATTTGGGCTCAATGCTTTAAGCCTTATTAGTTTCATATTTTTTTTTTAAGTCCATTAGGGTTTGTTTATGTTCTCCTTGTGTGGCAAGGACGTGTAGAGTCCTTTTAAAGTTAGGAGTGGTGTGTTAGCTTATTTAAAGGCTGGTTTAGTTTTATTTCGAGACATAGACAATAATTTTGAGAGTTGATAAATTTGAAAGGATTTTGTGCATTTGAGAACTAAACTAACTTATCAAGGATTACAACCCTTGTTGCATCTCCGAACTTATCATCCTTTATAGGGTGTGATATTCTTCACTCCATTGCAATATAGCTTCGATTCTTCCCTCCTTATAGGCAATGGGTTGGGTTTCGCTTACTATAACCCGATTAGGCGTGTTCTTAAGGTTATCTAGCGATAAATATGTTTGGATTTCTCGTCTTTATACGTGGGGTTTACATCGGGTAGTATCCATTTAAGAACCCCAACCAATCTCACCAATCTGCTTAATTCCCTTGAGTGCATCTAGGAGCAAGGGAAACAAATCCTTGCCTCCTCTTATAATGTACTACAATACAATAGGTACAACCCATCAATAACCAATGTTTCAAATAGAAAAAAGACAAACAAAATAGAAACAAAAAAATTGATTGTAAGTAAACAAATTAGAGGAAGCAATAATCTATTATGAAGAAACCTAATAGCAAACTTCGATTATCATACACTAATTATGGACATAGAATTTGTGCTCATATATATATCCAATCGTATAAAAAATTTAATTGGATTGACAATAAATTTTGTCCAGTTCAAGATTTGAACAAAATAAAAATGGACATGATTATTTTGCCAAAATCAATATCAATATCTTGTTTTTGAAATTCGTTAGAGATTAGTTTGATAGGTTTGGAATAAAATTTGCTTAAAAAAACTTAATTTTTATTTTTTTTGTAAGTTTCGCTAATAGTTTAAAATAGTTTTGCTTGTCTAGTTTTAAGTATATCATCCAAACTTAAAAAAATATGGCATAATTATAGCGATTAAATATTATCATTTTTTTATTATAAATACTAGCTTCATATTAATTGTAAAATAATTTAACTTATTTTTACTCATTTTTTGCTAAACAAAACTATTAGAAAATGATGTCTTTAATGATTTTCATATTTCAATAAATATAGCCAAACTCTTTATCAGCAGTTTTCAAAAGACTAACTATTTAGGTTTTAAAAGCTTTTTAGCAATTTTTGAAGGTGTTGATTCTTCTTCTTCTTTTTTAAAGATCTCTTACCTCGATAGCACGATAGCAACACAAACCCTAATAATGGTAGTAGTAAAAAGATCTACTTAATCGAACTCTAATAATAGAAGAACGTACGTGTAATTAGCCCAACTATCAACATTTTGAGGGGTCAAATTCCAAAAAAACAGAGAAAGATCTAATAGACTGACTATACGAACAATAAAAATGATATTGTAATTATATCGTTGAAATATACCTAAGTTCTGTTAAAATGTTTCTTGTAATTTGTGAAGTACTTGTTAAATTTCCCATACTTCCAAATATGAGCAAATGAGAGGGGGCCATGGGATGGCAACGTAGCAGGGGAGGGGCCATGCTTCTGGTATGCGTTCGTCCTAAACGACAAAATGAGAAGAATAAAGAAAAAATTCTTGTATATCCATGTTGTCATAGCACAGTAGTAGAGAAGAGTGAGAGCCTCACAGGTTTTTTTATTCTTTGTTTCTTTTCAATTTTTGCCAGGGTTTTGAGGCTGTGTCACAATCTTACAGAATGGCTAGAATCTCCATGTAATATAGTAAATCCCTTGACGTGACTTGTGCCCCAGGGCAAAGTCCATCACCTAAAAATTGTTTTGTTTTTTTATTTAATTTTTCTGTACACCGAAGGAAGCAAGTAAATGGCAAACTTTTTTTTCCTCCTTTTTGTATGATATATATATATATATATATATATATATATAATCTCAATTGAAACTAGAAAATATTTTACTAGCTGTAAATATAAAAAACAAAAATAATTTTTTATATATATTTGCACAATCTATATTATCATTATTATTTATTTAAAACATAGGAAAGGTGTCAGAATCAGAGTTGCTAGTAGTTAAAATGCAAAACCAAACATTAGAGTTAAGATAAAATGGGTTTTGGAGAGGAAGATTGAAAGAATTGGACGAGCGGGAGAATTTTTTCTGTGAAGTAAGATATGTTAGGTAAATGGAAAACGGTCATTTTAGTCATTCAATCTCCGAGAATTAGGAGAGGTCATGTCAATATAAAAAAGAGGCTCTGCCAATACAACCTTTCTCTCAACTCACTGATTAGCGCTTGACAGTGTCCCTGATGAGTGAAAGCTCAAACGTTAACATTAAAATACTAGTAGAAAATTGGAGAAAAACCCACAACGAGGCTTAATTACCAGTACTCCTATTTAAGGAGTGAGAATTCTTTTTCCTGGTCATGTATACTGCAAGTTTGAACTTTAAAGACTGAACAAAAACAGAAGCCATCCCCGTCAAGGTGATGTTTCTTTCTGTTCACTGTTGGACGTTGACCTCCTCATTTACTTCATCAGGGATTAGCCAATTAATTTAATCGTCCTTTTTCAAACCCTATAACTTTGTCTACATAGGGTCATTGCACAGAAATAATACGCACAAAGGGCTACGCGTGTGGGGTTAAAAAGAGTTAAAAAAGCTAGCCAATTAGAGTACCTACGAGACTGTAGTATATGCTAGACTAGACTTAGACTAGAGTAGAGAGCCTAGCCTTGGCTTGCTTGCAGAGTGGAGAACCCCAAGAAAAGAAGAAACCAACTGACCTTTATTAATAAATCTTGCATCGGAATATACGCTCTGTCAGCGACAAAGAAGGCAAAGCAAAAACCCTGAAAGAAGTTAAAGATAGAATATAAAAAGAACCCAAAAGAAAAGCAACCTTACCTTGTTGCCCTATCCCTCTCTCTCAAGTCTTACCTTGCCTCTTTGTTTTTCTGTCCGCCGCTGCTGTGAAACTTCGTTATCTGAGTTGTTTTATCTTTCTTTTTTACGGTTGAATTCTAAGTTTTTTTTTTTTTTTTAAATTTAATGCCCTTTACTTTTTCCACCCACCTCATTCTCTCATCTCCTTTTAAATTGGTGTTTTGCACCCACGCTTGCACTTGCAGACTTACAGTTGCACCCAGAAACAAAACAAAACTAGAAAGACAATACTTAAATCTCCAAGAATCTAACTCTTCTCGCTTCAACAATCTTAATGGAAGTGAGTCTTTTTTGTTCTATCTGCCCCTTTGTTTCATATACAAACTATAGCTAGCTAGCTAAGCTATTCATTCTTTCTGTCTCTTTGCTCTTCTTAATTCTCTTCTCTTGCTTATTGTTATATTCATTAATTAAATTGTATCTTTGTGGTGTACTGTAGGATTATTATTATTCAAGAAGCCATGTACCCGCATTTGGAAGCTGGGACTGGAACAGTGACCTGCCTTTCACTCAGTGCTTCGAATCAGCTAGGCAAGCAGGGCTGCTTCGTTACAGTTACTCAGAAGATCGTGATCTGTATGTTGCTGGTGATTTGTATGAGAATGATGTTGTCACTCCCGCCATGATTGTTGTTCCTCGCCGAAGGGTAAATAATATTATTTCTTCTCCATCTTTTGTTCCTTATCGATATTTCTAGTCTTGTTTCAGAAAAAGAAAATGAAGATTCTTGTGCATGGTATATCTTTTTTTCTTTTTGGTTGCTCATCTTAAATTTCTTCACGCTCATGAAAGGTGGTTCCTACTTCCAAGATTGACAAAATAAAAGTTTAAATCACGAAGGAAAAGAAAAGATTCATTAAAAGAAGTTCAAGTAAAGGCCATCATGAGCTGGGGACATTATCATGATAAAGAGATGCATTTTTAACTTTTTCATTTCATTCGCTTTTCGTAATGGAATTTTTTTCAAAAACAAATTATTGTATAATTCATATTCTTGTTGTTTTAGGTGGTTCCAAGTACAATTCCAAGATAATGTATGATAACAGCTAAGCTAACTAGCAACAAATATATAATTAGTTGTAATGATGTTTATAGTATGATGATAGATTCATTATGTATTGAATGTGGATGATAATTTGGAAAATATTGGTGATAATTGATGAACCTTTCAGGCAAAAGTACGTAGCCCTCGTGCCAAAGAAGAGAAAAGGCAGCAAAGTTGGGAGGTCACGAATGATGTAAAGGAACCACCAAGTCCACCTCCTACAGCCAGGCCAAAACCTAAGCCAGTTGATGAGGACTTGTATAAAATCCCACCAGAGCTCCTTTGTGCAAAACCCAAAAAGGCAGGCCTCTTCGCATTCCTTTTCTTATATTAGTTTCCTTCCTTCAAATTGAAATTCCATTATTGCTTTGCTTATGAATGTAGTTTTATATATATATATATATATATAAATTTGCATACCTCACCCCTGCATCTTTTCTCACTTACATAAACCTTTTTTTCATTTTTTCGTCGTGCAGAAGAGAGGGTTGTCTTTCTTTTCAAGCTGCTTGCTGCCCACCTGTGTTCTGTGAAGGCTGTTAGGACCACGTAAATATAATATATATATATATATATATATAGCAAGGGAATGAGAAGAATATACTATTTTGTATGATGAAGAGATTATGTTATATTCCTACTGCTTCTTAGCTAGTTGGGACTTGTTGCCTGCCGAGTGATGAAGGGTTGTTTTCTCTTTCTTTTGTTTCGGGTGGTTCTTTTTTTCCCTTGAATCTCTATTGCATTTGAAAATAGGGACAGATCAGAAAGACTGTGAAAAGAAAAGGGGACTTATTGATGTGGGGTACCTGTGTATGCCCTTTTTGTGAAAAAGAAAAGGAAAAAGGCTCTCCTGCAATTTCATCCTCATCCTGTGCCTTTACTTTTTTCTTTCCTTTGGGAATCCAATTTAATTAGACCCCTACTCCTGCGTGTTGTGTGAGTATGCTATTGATTAATTGACTGATCCGTTGATTTTTTGTATTTTTAGTGTTCGGAAATTGAAACTTTAGGAAGGAAAAAAATGCATACAAAGTCTAAAAAGTAGAATACTTGACTTTATATTAATTGGTATTTGGGAAAGTGGCCCCCCACCCCCCCCCCCCCCCCCCTCCCTCCCTCTCACAAGCCGTTCATGATTGTCTGATGGTTTAAAAATCAGGTTAAATGGTATAAATTTTGTCCCAACTTAAAGTTATCAGTTTTTTAATTTTTAATTTTGAATTGTTTCTTTATAAAAAAATAATTTTTATTTGAATTTTTGTTGTTTTTTTTATTAATTTTAACTAGAGAACTTTAGAAGTAAATTGTAAATTGTATGTGACTGACTAAATAACTTTCGTAACCACTAAAAATGTGTTAAAAAGTTATAAATATTTTGTTTCTTTTATAAAACTTTTTCTTTTTCTTACAAAATGTTCTTTATTGTTTATGAAGAATGACACTTACATGTTACAATTGATGAAAACCTAATAAAAATTTTAATTTTAAAGAAAAAAATAATTGAAGGTAGAATTGATGAAAACCTAATAAAAATTTTAATTTTAAAGAAAAAAAATAATTGAAGGTAGGTTTAACTTGAAATTGAAAATTGAGAATCGAATCTCAAATGATAAGTTCAGAGAGGATCGTAAAGTTGAGAGAGCTTTGAGCCTAGCTTAAATCCTTTGGACAAACTTTAAATACATCCTCAAATTATTAGGGAAGTATAAATTTTACATTCAAAGTATTTTCTATATTAATTTTACCTCAATTTTCGACTGTTTGATATAAAAAATATTCAGAGGTTATTTTTAAGGTTTGCCCAACTCCTTTTTATCTTTTGCAATAAACTTTCCTTTTACCAACTCTTTCTTGAAATTAAGTGTTCACGAGGCGCAGACCATTGCCACGGGAAAAAACGAAAAACATACCGGCATGTGATGGGGGAGCAAAAGAATGTGATTTGAGAGAGAGAGAGAGAGAGAGAGAGAGGAGAAAAATGTAATGCAAGATAAAAAAAACCCAGAAATGCTTTGTCATTCGGTTGCGCGTGCAAGATTCATCATGGCCAGTCTTCTTATATTTACTTCTTCCTTTTTCCCTTTAAATTTATTGAATAATTACATTCTGAAAAGTTCCGAATCCCTTAAACAATGCATTGAATGGTAATAATATAGATCTTGTTTACTGTTTTTTTAAAAAAAAAAAACTGTGCTAGTTATTCCAGAGATTACTTTTGAGACCCTTTCCCTTAATTAAGGAGTGAATTGTAAATTAATTTCTCTAGTTTTGCAAAACAAATTAAAGTCTATTTATTTCAAAAAATTAATTAATTAATCCTTTGATCGGTGTTAATTAGCGTTAATTTAATATTATTTTGTTTCAAAAAATATATTCTTTTTTATAATATTTACATATTTTAACATATTTTTTTATTTATTAAAAAAATAAATTGAAAAAAAAATGAAGTTACAAATAGATTTAAAAATATAAAAATTAAATAATTTGTTTTAAAACTACAAGGACTATTTAATTTATTTGAAAAACTAAATGAACTAACTTATAATTTACTATTGAACATGTAATTTTATTTTTTTATTTTTTAACAGGGACTGGATAGTGGTGGTTCACTTTCCTGTTGATCCTACAAAGAAAAAAACATAATTGCAATTATAATTTTCTATCTTCTTGAGCATCGGAGTTACAATAACTGCATCTTTTGGCATATATATATATATATTACCAGAGAGACATTATAACTCAAAAGAGTGGTACTATTAACATGTTCAAATACACTTCGTGTTCTTGTGCTATATCAAAAATATTGTTATAATTCTTTTATCCATATATAATTCATAACAAATTTTATATTATTAAACATTGACACAAAATAGCCTCTTTGTTAATTTTTTCTATTGGATTGACTAATTTTTGTTAGTACACTAGCATCCGACTAATCAAGTTGAGACATGTGTCATTTTAGAAGTAAAAATATAATTTTCTTTTCAATTTTTTAAAATTAAAGTAAATAATAATTATTATAAAATCATTAAAAGTTGGAAAAAAATTCTAAATTTTCAAAAATTTCTAATGAATTTATAATAATAATTATTAAATAATTTAAAAAAATAGAGAGATTATTTTTTTTCAAATTCTAATGATTTTGTAATGATTATTAGTAAAGAAATTTTTTATTAAAATAATTAATAATCATTACAAAATTAGTTTAAAAATATAAAGAAAAGTTTTTTTTAAAAAAAATTGAATAAACTAGAAATGCTTGACTTTGGTGAATGCCTCGACGGTTAAGGGATTTGGTGAAGGCCCTAACCGAAGAAATGATAAAGGAAAGGGTGCACCCGAAAAGGAAAAGGAAAAAGGAAAATGGTTTTAAAGGCATGAAAAGGATTTTAAGAAAGATGAATCATGTGCATTCATGCATAAAAAATATCACACGCATTGTATGAATTATACTTACTAAGCATTATTTTGCTCATCATTGTTTTCATATGGTGTAGGAAATGATAAAGATAAATGAAGGATCGTCGCCGAGACAAGTGACCGACTTGCCATTTTGTGTGCTATGGCTTGGGGGTAGTGAGTATGAGAATTTTGTATAGCTTAGCTTGATTTTTGATGCATAGCAAGTTAGGTAATTTTTGATATGCATATAAACCAATTAAACAAAAATAAAAAGAACATAGTTTTCTTTCTAACCCAAGCACACACCACTTTTTCCTTTCTAGATTAAGGTTGTCCCAAAATTATCCCGATTAGATTTCAAAAGAAAAAAACACTAAACAAGTCAAAAAAGGTGGAGTTAACACTCTACCAATTTTGAGTGCTTCTTTTGTGGGTGTTTGGACTATGTGAATTATCGATAGAGGTCAAGCACTTAGACGACTTCTTTTCACAAAGGTTTAAATCTACATTATAAGAGATAATCTTTTATTTAATACTTTAATTTATGAATATATGATTCAATGACATGATTTTTTGCCCTTTAGATGATTTTTTTATTTATTCCGCACCTTCATAGGATGCATGATCCTTCATGAAAATGCATACAACTTAGGTAAAAATGTAAGGAATTTAAGAGGAATTCCAAGCTTAAACTAAATGGTTAAGTTGTTAATAAAAAGTTTGAATGAAATGACAAAGGGATTTAATGAATCTAAGAAAAAAGTTTATACTCATTTTATGTATAGTAAACCTAGTACCCCATGCTAAATAGGGGCTTTATATAGGGATAAATGCTCGTTTTCACTAATGTACTAGTAAAGATAAGGTAAGAGGCTTCTTGGCTTGTATTCATTGCAAGTCGAATGTAGGTCAATATCGATAACGGTCTCAACTTGTCTAGGTTTTAGGACGAGGGCGTTATAATTTTGCTTAATTTCGTTTGCCAAAAAGAGGCCACCAATGACTTTTCACTTATATGGATGAAGCCGTCGTTGCCCCCAAAATCATTTTTATCCAAAAACAATCGTTGAAATAAGTTCATTAGTAACTTTGACTTATGTGACAAAACCGCTAGTGATTTTAAAATCATTTTATATGACAAAGATGCTAGTGATTTTAAAATCATTTTACTTGGTTTTCACTTGTTAGAAAAGTGGTCATCGGTGACTTCTTACCTATGTAAACGAAGCGACTAGTGGCTCTAAAAACCATTTTTATCCAAAAATCGATCATTAAAATAAAGTCATTGATGACTTTCTATTTATGTGATGAAGCCACTAGTAATTTCAAATCACTTTACCTGTTTTTTTTTTGTTAGAAATGAGGCCATTAGTGACCTTCCACCTATGTAGACGAAATCACCGAGTGGCCCTAATAATTTTTATTCAAAAAATGATCGTTGAAGTGAAGTCATTGATAACGTTCCACTTATGTGATGAAATCATCGGTGATTTCGAAGCCATTTTATATGTTTTATGCTCTTTTGAAATGAAGTTGCTAATAGCTTCCAAATCATTATTATCATTTCAAAAAAATGTTTGTTATGGACTTGAGTCATAAAAGACTTACCATTTTCATTTCAAATGATTTCTTTTATAGGTCGTAGTCACAAGAGACTCACTATTTCTATTTCAAATGACTTCCTTTATGAACTGCAGATCACGATGGACTCGTCATTTCATTTTCAAATAATTTCTTTTGTGGGCTATAATTAGAAGAGGATCGCTACTTTTATTCCGACAAAACATCTCTATCGTGGGTTGTAGTCACAAAAGACTCATCATTTTTATTCTAACGAACGTCTTTGTCATGAGTTGCAGTCATAAAAGACTTGCCATTTTTATTTTGACAAAAAAATCTTTTTTATGGGCTACGATCATAAGTGACTCA